TATATATATATATATACCCAGCATATATATATGTACATATATATGTATATATATGTACCAACGCACACACTCATGTATATTATTATTTTAAAAATTGTATTTATTATTTATTACTTTTGTTAAATAAAAGTATTTTAAGGGAATAAATAATGTGTACATCAGTCCTGTTTTAAAATGTACATATTTATCGAAGCCGTAACCACGACGACGCCCAGGATTAAATCTTTGTTCCCACTTCGACCATTTTACAACATCGAGACTTTAAGCAAAGAGTAAAAAATACAAGAAAAATGTTAATATTTCTCACCGTACATGATGACGACTCGTTGAGCTCACGGACACACAGACACACAAATACACTCACGTTTTTGGTTAATCCTTCACACACACACGCGTGTGTGTATGTGTGTGTGCGTGTGTGTGTGTGCGTGTGTAGCAGCTCAGCGCTCGATAATCTGCTGGATTTATTCCTCATTGCAGCTGCACATCAGCACTGTTGTGGTAGTAACTACGCAGTACAAATACCCCACAATACTAGTTACTTCAGTCAGCAGCGCTAGCAGCACTCTTAAGAGTGTATAATAACAGTATTATTGTCATATTATTTGTAGTAATATTAGTAGTAGATACTACTGATTATGAGTACTATCAGTAGTATTAACAGTAGTAGTATTAAAGTCATACCAGTATTATTTTTAAGTACAATCAGCAGTGTAAACATTGGTTTGGTTAGTAGTATTAGTAGTAGTCATACCAGCATTCATATCAACCGTTTCAGTAGTAGTAGTAGTACGAGCAGTACATGCTACCTGCAGAGTGTCTGGGGGTAACTGATACTACTATTAGTTATACTATCAAATGTATTGGTAGTATTATTAATAGTGTTATCAGTCACAGTAGTAGCAGCGGTATCGGTTACCTGCAGAGTGTCTGGTGGTAATGGATACTAGTATTGGTGGTAATGAAAAACTAGTATTGGTACTATTAACAGTAGTATTAGTAGTAGTACTGCAGTACTAGCTACCTGCAGGTGTCCGGTGGTCCACGGAGCAGAAGTTCTGCAGCAGCCTCCCAAGAGTCTGGGATACGGAGATGATAGCGGCGCCCCTGGGCATGCTGGGTAAACTGGGCATGCAGGCTCTAGGCATGCTGGGTAAACTGGGCATGTTGACTCTAGGCATGCTGGGTAAACTGGGCATGCAGACTCTAGGCATGCTGGGTAAACTGGGCATGCAGACTCTAGGCATGCTGGGTAAACCGGGCATGCAGACTCTAGGCATGCTGGGTAAACCGGGCATGCAGACTCTAGGCATGCTGGGTAAACCGGGCATGCTCACTCTAGGCATGCTGGGTAAACCGGGCATGCTCACTCTAGGCATGCTGGGTAAACCGGGCATGCTGACTCTAGGCATGCTGGGTAAACTGGGCATGTTGACTCTAGGCATGCTGGGTAAACTGGGCATGTTGACTCTAGGCATGCTGGGTAAACTGGGAGGAGTGAAAAGCTTTTCACAGTCTTCTTGCTCACATTCCTTCACATCTAAGAGGTAGTTATTGTACTTTTACTGCGACTAAATGTATCCAACAGCTTTAGTTACTTTACAGCATATAAATACAACACAATGCCAAACAAGTACTTTAACTTATGATACTTTAGAAGTACTGATTGAATTCATTTCATCACAGGTTGATATTGCTACCTTCACTGAAATACAACATGCAATTACTACAGTGACCAAATCAAAGCAATATTAGATAACACATTATTTATTATCTAATAACTAATAATAAATTATTAGATAATAAATATCAGCAATATTAAATAGTTATGCGTTAAAAAAAAACACAAACCAAAGAAGCAGCGTCCAGTAAAGTTGTCTTGTTAATAGTTCTGTCCTTCGCTGACAAAGCAGTGCATGCTGGGTAGTTCCGCGGTCTCAAAGGGCTTTCTGATTCACTGCTTCCTAAATCTGCTGACAGAGGTCATGTGACCCAGACCCTCCAGAGCAGGTCCAAGTACAATGTGTACCAGCTTGGGGGTCAGAGTGAAGTATTCCCAGAGGTACACGGACGTCCTACTGGTTTGACTCCAGCGTCGCTCCCCAACAGTCGGCACACAGGCCGTTATGTAAGTGACCCCGGCCGACCGATCGATAATCAATGACAGCACACGCCTCCCAATCAAGCCGTCTGATGTGGAGGGACATGGGACACATGTCACAGTGTGTTGATGATGGAGGGGCTGCCCAGAGGAGGAAAACAAGCGCCCCTCCCTCAGTCTCTGCCGCCCTCTAGTGTTTGAGGCTGGTCAACGCAATGAACAGTTCAAAGTGAGACAGGTAATAATGTCTCCAGGTAAAACGTTCAGTCCGTCATCTTCACTCCCCCCCTACAAACAGTCCTCCAAGCTCCGCCTCCAGCTCCGGCAGGAAGACTTGCCCGAACACGCCCACGTGGCCAGCCGAGTCCCCCAGGGTCCTCCACCAGGGCAGCCTGTGTGCCTGCAGCGCTGCATTGTGGGAGTCACGGGCGCGCATGACCACAAGACTGGAGCGGCTCAGGAAGGAGTCGGCGGCTGTTGTCGTAACCACAGAGAGGGGCGGGGCCTCTGCAGGGACAGGACGGGAAACGTGCGTGAGGAGCAGCCGTATGTGTGTGTGTGTGTGTGTGTGTGTGTGTGTGACCTCGGAGCAGCTCCAGCTGTGTGTGGTTGTGTGTGTGTGTGTGTGTGTGTGAGTGTGTGTGTGTGTGACCTCGGAGCAGCTCCAGCTGTGTGTGTGTGTGGGCCAGCAGCGCCTCCACCCGTTGCTCCTCCCTCCTCCGCTGCTGCTCTCCCCCCTGCAGTGCCGACAGCAGCAGCTGCGCCTCCTCGTGGAGACGCTGCGCCTCCTCGTGGGAAACCTGCGACGACTGCAGGCAAAGCATTGTGGGTACACATGTGTTTGATGTTTGTTTCCATGCTATTCAAAAAGGGCGGTAGAAGGTCTTACTGGATGCAGAGAGATGTGCTCCTCCACCTGTCTCTTCAGTTCCAACCTCCGACTGTCCGTCAAGCCTCTCTGACCAATCAGGAGAGACGTGGTGGGCGGGACAAACGCTGCTCGTCGCCTCCGCAGGAAGAGACGCACCTGAAAGAGGGAGGAGACAGATACTACAGATGTAGAGACACACAGGCAGAGAGACAGACTAAGGGACAGGACAGTGGAGGGACAGACAGACCGACCCCTGACCCTTCAGGGGCTCACTGAGGTCACCTGGGTAGTGGTTGAGTGTTTAAAAGGTGGAAATATCAAGGGACCAAATGTCTGAGGGCCTCAAACACTGACAGACAGGTAGACAGACAGGTAGACAGACAGGGACTCTAGTGGCCATCTGCAGTGTGAGGCAACAAGGGTCCCCACAAGTACAGAAACACGAGTGTGTGTGTGTGTACCGCTCTCTGCAGCGTCCTTGCAGCCTGCTGCTGTGTGCGTGCGTGTCTCGTTGTGTTGTTGTAGCGTTGTCGCTCTCTGAAGCCTCGCCAGAAGCTCTGGATCAACACGGCCGCCCGACACTCACACTCCTTCAGGTAGGGCTGCACCTGGTCTACACACACACACACACACATATATCAGAATGTATGTGTGTCACATGAAAGGAATAATCTAGTGGTGTGTGTAGGTCAGGGGTCTCTGACTCCGCCCGCGGGGTCGTCTTTGGCGTACCCCCCCATCGACCGCATTGGTCTGACCCGCGTCCGGTCGAAGTGGGCTGTGCCTGATTTGAGTTTGAGACCCCTGGTGTGTGTGTGTGTGTGTGTGTGTGTGTGTGTGTGTGTGTGTGTGTGTGTGTGTGTGTGTGTGTACCAGCAGGAAGAAGCTGCAGCAGTTGTCTCTGTTTCTGGTGGAACTTCCTCCTCGCCTGCTGACGCCTCACACACACCTGAAACACACACACATTACTGCAGTACTTATGTCAGTACTCGTACTACTAGGGCTGCAGTAGTACTCTCACCTGATACCGAAGCTCCTCCTCCCATTGCTGCGCCTCCTTCTGCTGCTGCTGCCTCCTCCTCCGAGCCCTGCCACAACAACTCTCAGTGAAGTACTAAGTACACGTCTGTGGTACTTTAGACAGACAGACAGACAGACAGCTACCTGTATGTCCTCTGCAGCCTGCTGACCGCTCTGTTCAGGTTCTTCACCCTGCGTCTCGTCTGAAAGGACCTCCAGGCCGCTTGGATCAAACATGCCGCCCGCTCACGCTCCGTGCACACCTACACACAGAGGGGGGGGTCAGAGGTCAATGGGGACAGAGGAAGACAGACAGAATAACAAAGACGGACCTGTGGACGCCTCCTTGTGTCAGCTTGGATGAGTGCAATCAGCTGATCCACTTCCTGGTCAAAGCCCCGCCCCTTCCAGTCCTTGTCCAACAGGCTGTCCAGACCTGTTGAAACAGAGTGACATTAACGGTTAATAATGTGATGGTATAAATGTATGAACATCACCACGTGTGACCTCTGACCTTTGAAGCTGAGGAGGAGGGGCTGGACCTGCTCCTCCTGCTGATTGGCCATGAGCAGGATCAATCTGACGGCGGCCACGCCCACTGAAGAGTCAGCGCTGACGGCCAGTTGGCCAACGGCTTCGTTGAGAAGCAACAAGACGGAGTCATCGCTCAACTCAGACAGAAAGTCCCTTTAGAGAGAGGACAACACTTCACCCACAAACAACAACAACAACAACAAGACAAACGGTGTGTGCGTGTGTGTGCGCGTGCGCCCCACCTGCTGGCTGTGCAGGTCTGAACCCACATCTCGACACACAGCAGGGACACAGTGACATCATCACACATCTGGATGTGCTCGTAGTGGACAGAGCTGAGAACTAGAGACACAGAGAGACGAGGTCCTGATCAATAACCCGATCAATAACCTGACTGATCCTGATCTACGAGCAGTGCACTCACCCTGGGTGGTGAGACAGGTGTGAGACCTGAGCATCCAGCCCACTGAGTCCATCACCTGCCTGAAGAGAGACGGGCACTGACAGACAGGTGGAGAGACAGACAGGTAGTCACACAGGGGAGAGAGAGAGAGAGACAGACAGACAGACAGGTAGTCACACAGGGGAGAGAGAGAGACAGATAGACAGACAGACAGGTAGTCACACAGGGGAGAGAGAGACAGAGACAGACAGGTAGTCACACAGGGGAGAGAGAGAGACAGACAGACAGACAGGTAGTCACACAGGGAAAAGAGACAGAGACAGACAGGTAGTCACACAGGGGAGAGAGAGAGAGACAGAGACAGACAGACAGGTAGTCACACAGGGGAAAGACAGAGACAGACAGGTAGTCACACAGGGGAGAGAGAGAGACAGACAGACAGACAGACAGACAGGTAGTCAAACAGGGGAGAGAGAGAGAGACAGAGACAGACAGACAGGTAGTCACACAGGGGAAAGACAGAGACAGACAGGTAGTCACACAGGGGAGAGAGAGAGAGACAGAGACAGACAGACAGGTAGTCACACAGGGGAAAGACAGAGACAGACAGGTAGTCACACAGGGGAGAGAGAGAGAGACAGATGGACTCACCTCTGCCCGCCTCATCAGCTGGCTGGCCAATGAGAGGAGTCCGTCCATGAGTGAGGGCAGGAACAGCCTATGAAAGGCCTGAGACCGTGGACCAGGGTCCACACCGACACAGCAGGAACTGAAGAGACAGACAGGTCCTCAGACAGGTTGATAACTTTATACTACCACGTCTCCACCTGTCTGTCTGTCTGTCTGTCTCTCTGCATGTACAACGCCCCAAGTTAAAAAGGGAGGATTTAATGAATACATACTAATACTTTTTAATACTATAAACGTTAATTATAAAAATACTACAAAAACTTTTTTTTTAATATTACACTATGCTTAAAAAAATAATATATATTATTTTAAAGAGAAAACATTCTCCAAAAAAAAGATTATGTTAATCTCTAATTCTGAGATATTTTCAAAAATATGATTTAAAAAAACAAATTAAAGAATAAATTAGCAGCAGGGTTCCAGCAGGTTCACCTGGTGAGCGCGGCCAGCGTGGCGGCGGCGCCCCAGTTTCCCCGCGGTCTTCTGGGATCTGGAGTCAGGAGGCGGACGCAGTGACTCAGAACGCCGCTCCGATACAAGAGGGACTTCCCAGCAGCCAACGGGGCGCCGTGTGACCGCAGGGCCGCCGTGGTCAGAGTCTCTGATTGACACGGATACACACACATTACAAACTGTAGATGCACTGGTGGGCTAGCAGGCCCAGTTAGCCGTCCCAGTTAGCCTTTCCACCGTGGCTGGTTCCTGCTGCCTCTGCCCACTGACAAGTTCAATCAGCCTCAGCACCGTGTTTCCATGACAACCACGCCAACAGGTCTTAAAAATATACATACAAATTAAAGTATAAAGATATACATGGACATATCAATGTGATAATATTGTTTATTTCCAGTTTTCCCATTGATTCATTTTTTCCTATTAACACTCGTTTGTCTGTAATTAATTTCTCATTGTATTTTTTTTGTACTCTACTTATTTCTCTTAGGTCTTATCTCATCCCGTATGACCGTAGGTGAGGGTCTTTTTTACCGCACTCACCTCCATCGTCCCCACAAGACCCGACGTAGCTAAACATTCTCTACCATTGCCTCACATTCAGAGGGTTTATTTCTCCTAATATTTAAACACTATCATTTATTTATTAATTGTCTTATTAGTCTATATATGTTTCTATATTTACACGTTACTTTATGTATTTACCTTTCTATTCTCCACTTTTTATTACTTTACTTACTCTAAATATTTTTCTACTTATTTGATTTATTTGACTTAATATTGCTAAACGAATTAATCTCCACATTTTTACGAATCCATTATTTATCTATTTCTCTTTCTGTGTCGTCTCACTGTTCAACGCGTCGTTCAGAAGGAGGACTTTCTGCTCCGGCTTCAGGTCTTCATCCTCCAGCTTCCTCTTCAGCTCCGCCACCAAAGCCTCCTCCTGCACCAGCTCCATCAGCTCCATCCTTCACCCCCTTCAAACACAAACAGGTTACATTCTCCACCAGTGTTCCAGGAGGAGAGGAGGAACTACTTCTACCAGACTCCTTTGGAAAACCACATGATTTAAGCAACGTTGCATAAGGAACTACTCTATGAGCATCACACGCACCAGACTCTACTGATAAAGGACACGATTTAAGCAATATTCGATTAACTCTTTAGTGTGGGCATCACACACACCAGACTGCGTATAGAAATTAAGCTATTTAAGCAGCAACGTGCCACCCGTTTCCCCAAATCATCACCACCTGATGTGCGCGAGAGGACCTCAGTCCTTTAGCTCACTGGTCACACCTGTTAGCGCTATTAGCTCGTGTCGCGTCACCCAGAAGCGGTCTCAACAGACACGCTTAACGCTAGTGACGTAGTCATTAACAATGTCCGGAGATAAAAGTGACGTCACACGACCTTCGCGTTAACACGTTGACCTTTGTGGATTTAGAAACGCCACGCAGCTTCTAAGCTAACCAAGGTAGCTGGCAAAGTTAGCTTCTAGCAGCAGGGCAAGCTAACGCTCTTCTGTTGCTAAGGTAACGTGACGTCACGATGCTGCGACGCGCCGCCCTCTGCACCAATTGTAGCGGATCAGTGAGTTAAATAAATGTTTTTAATAAACATTTAAAAAAACATTATTGACATGATATCAAGAAAACAGACAAATACAAAAAAAATCTACAGTTCGAATGAATAAAATATTGAATATTAATAACAGATACAACGAAAATAAAAATATTTGATAATACACCTATAAAGAGGTTAAATAAATATTATACAGATAATATTATTAATATATGTTAACTAAATCAAAAATTCTTTTAAAAACAAACTTCCTTTTTTGTTTTTGATTCTTGAACATTTTGTTACAAAAATAAACATTTTGACAGATTCAAAAGTGGACATAAAACCGCATAAGTCGGCATAAAACCACGTCGGCTGGTTTAATGACCTTATCACAGGTGCATTATTAATCCAACATGTGAGAAAAAACCTCAAGACAATTCACAGTATTGTTTTCAGGCTGCTGTGTATCAGTGTGGCCACTTGGTGGCGTAGCAGCTTTTGTATTGATTCACTTCATGACTTTATAAAATATCACTGACGTTAAAATGTATTTGTTCACTGTAATTGCTATATAATTGCTATGAGTCGCAAAATACAATCAAAAGCTCATATATTCCTTTTACACTTTGTCATTCATTATATGTGTGAATATATACAATACATATAATATATGAATGTTGCTGTTTTCTGGCCTTTCTTGTGTTATATTATAATATAATAAGCTAATACAAAAACTAATATCGATCATTTAAATGTAAAATTAAATAATAACCATATTGTTATTGTAAAATATATATAAGCGATATAATAAAACTGAAAAAATGGTATGATTCAAATAAATAATAAATAAATAAATAATATAATAAATAATAATGATATATATAATGATAATATATATAATAATTTAATACACTTCAAAACAACCAAATAAACATATAATATAATACAACATAATGTAGAATAATTCCATTAAATAAAATTGTAGAAAGTAATAAAGGGGGGGGGGGGGCGGTGTGTGTTAATCCGTGCAGCAGCTGCTGCAGCTCGCGCGCACAGCGCCCCTCGCTCTCCGGTGCGCCTGCGCGCTACACACACACGCGCCCGCGCGCGCACACACCGATACACCGACCGTCCGCTGCCCGGTCCGAGAGAGCGAGAGACACACACCGGGAAGCTCACGGTGACGGGACGTGATGCTGCACGGGATCACGGGAACGTAAGAAGAGCGGAGCAGGAGGCGGAGGCGGCAGTGACGGTCTCATCGGTACCGGAGGAGCGGAACACATCCGGTAGCCTGCACCGATCCGGTCTGATGTGAACCCGCAGGTCCGCACGGGGAGCGACGCCGCATAACGGAGGAGGAGGGAGGATGAATTCGGTAGATGGAGGGGAAGCGGGCCCGGACGGCCTGGCGACGGCAGGTAGGGTGTGTGTGTGTGTGTGTGTGTGTGTGTGTGTGTGTGTGTGTGTGTGTGTGTGTGTGTGTGTAGTAGGAGCTGCTGTCGCCATGATGCCTCCACCCGCGCCCATTCACTCAGAGAATGTGTGTGTGTATTTGTGTGTGGTTGGGGGTCCTACCAAGGAGGATTGTGGGAAGGCCTGCTTGGTTATCCGTGTGTGTGACGTCATGTGTACTCACATGGAAGCTTTACATTCCCTCCAATTGAAGTATCAGCGGTGTTAATACACCGCGATTGTGAAAGAAATGCTGCCCTCTGATTGGACGACAGGCTTCAATTAAAATCATATCAGAGGGGGTTTAATTGAAAGGTACGGTAACCGTGGCAACCCCGTTGATGGGATGTTACTGGTGGAACGTGTAGTAAATCAGTTAGTGGATCAGTAACGCATGATTTTATATTATTTTATTCATCTGTTAGCTCTGACAGTAAAGCAGCAGGTTGGTATCGGACGCATTTGTACATTTGGAAACGTTTATTCACATTACGATATAAAACAGCACCAAAGTCCAGCTCTGATTTCGGAGAGGACATCGTGGCTGAACATCTTTATTAGTTTTGGTTACGTAATTGGTGTGATGAGTCCTGACAGACTGACAGCGACTTCTCTGGAGGCTTTTCATCTGCAGCTATTCTAGTCTCCTCACTGTATCAGTGTGTGTGTGTGTGTGTGTGTCAGACTGCTTCATCACAATGGAAATCCTTTCTGTATCTGCCAGCTGATCGTCCTGATTGACAGCTGATCCGTGATCAGTCAGTGTCACGTTTAAGTTTTATCAGGAGGTCGACGGCCAGGAGGTAGGAAGGACTTTCATTTCGAGACATCAATCCCCATTTAAGAAATTTACAAATATTTTAAGGACTAAACTATTGAAGGGCTTTTATTGTGAAGAAACCAAAGCACTTGTACTGTTTTGAAAGACAAAGTACAATGATAAATACTACACATGTGGTTATAAATGCTGTGTAAAAGCTTTGTAGTAGAATAAAACACGCCTCTATTATTGTCATTCAGTAGGTTTGTGGTGGTTCTGTTCCCCTACAGCTCTACGTGAAGCTTTGTGTTAACAGCGTGCTTTTAATTGGGTGGTCTACATCAAACAGTCAGTTTGGGGTCCGAGGAGACTGGTCGGTCCGAAGGGAGGACCCAAGGAAAGAGGACTCGGCTAGGAGCTAGGGAGCGTTCTTCTTCATCTCCTTCGTGTTTTTAGGCTCCCCCCTTCCTCCGAGTGTCACCGGCGCTGTGAGCGGCTTGATGCCCTCAGTGCGCGCTGGACGAGCTGACTCACATGGGAGGCCCGTCTGCACACACACACGGACACACACACGGACACACACACCGTGCTGGTCGGCTCCGTTAAACTCTTGATCTAAATCAGGGGAGTCAAACTCATCTTTAGGTTGATCTCAAGTGGGCCAGGCCGGGGGGGGCTGGAGGAAGGCCGTGGTGGCAAAGGTCGAACGCAGGGATCCCCACACTTTTTAGGCTCACAGGCTACTTTTCACTCAACTTTTTAATCCAAGTAAATCCCCCCCCCCCCCACCCGCTCGGGCAGTTCGCCCGCAATAATAATACGGAACAACATCGCTGCCTCGTCTGTCAGAAGCGATCGGTGTGGGCGTGTCCATGAAGCTGACAGATGTGTGTTTCTACCCCCGAGGTTGTGGTAAAGCGGAGTGCGTCCGAGCGGTCGACGTGCTGACGGTGCTCAGAGAGAAAGTGGCCTTCGTGTCGGGTAAAACAAACACACCTGCGCATTTAACCCAGTTCAGTCCCGATGCGGCCCAGTTTGACTGACTGTGTTCTCTCAGGTGGGCGGGACAAACGTGGCGGACCAATACTGACCTTCCCTGCCAGGACCAATCATGATCGAATAAAACAGGAAGACCTAAGCCAGTTGGTCACCTACCTGGCAACCATACCCTGGTAACGCCCTCCATCTCTGTCCACCTCATGACCTCTGCACCTGTATCTCGCTCGGCCTGTCTCGCTCAACCCCCCCGCGCCCATCTGCCTGTTTGTCCATCAGTGAGGACGTGTGCGCTCGTGGCTTCACGGTGGTGGTGGACATGCGCGGCAGCAAGTGGGACAGCGTGAAGCCGGTTCTACGCACGCTGCAGGAGTCCTTTTCCTCCAACATCCACACGGCGCTTCTCATCAAACCCGACACATTCTGGCAGAAACACAAGACCAACCTGGGCAGCGCCAAGCTCAGCTTCGAGGTACTACTCCCTATGAGTAGTACCGTGGTAATAACCGCTGTAGTACTGCCGCTAGCACATTGTTCACTAGACTAGTTGCTGGAATCCATACTGCTGCTAACGAAATTAGCAGCAGTATGGATGCTAACTGAAGTACTGCTAACTAAATTACTACTGATGCTAACTGAAGTAATGCTAACTAAATTACTACTGATGCTAACTGAAGTAATGCTAACTAAATTACTACTGATGCTAACTGAAGTAATGCTAACTAAATTACTACTGATGCTAACTGAAGTACTGCTAATGCTAACTAAATTACTATTGATGTTAACTGAAGTAATGCTAACTAAATTACTACTGATGCTAACTGAAGTACTGCTAATGCTAACTAAATTACTATTGATGTTAACTGAAGTAATGCTAACTAAATTACTACTGATGCTAACTGAAGTACTGCTAATGCTAACAAACCCATGTCCAGACCAGCCTGGTGTCGGTGGAGGGTCTGTCCCGGCTCGTTGACCCCTCCCAACTGACCTCTGACCTCGGCGGCTCGTTGGAGTACGACCACGTGGAGTGGACCGAGCTCCGTCTGGGCCTGGAGGAGTTCACCGGCGCCGCCACACAGCTGCTGAGTCAGCTGGAGCAGCTGGAGGCCGGGCTGAACCGCATACCGGAGCCACAGGACGTGGACGAGGCCCGCAAGTGAGTTAGTGTGGTAACTTAAGAGAGTATTTATTCATTATTAATAATAATAATATAATAACTTTCCGTCTCCAGACTTCTGGAGGAACACAGCCGGCTACGTAACACCATCGCAACGGCACCGGTTGACTCCCTCGAGAGAGAGGGGAGGAGCTTGCTTCAGCGCATGCGCCTAGGCCCCTCCCACGGCGACGCCTCCACCGAAGGAGGCGCCGGCGCTAGTAACGGCAGCTGGCTGTCGGGTGGAGCCGACTTCCACAGCGTGGCGCCAAAGGTGTCGTCCCTGCTGGACAGGCTGCAGGGGGCCCGCGGACACCTGCTGCAGAGCTGGAGCGACAGGAAGCTGCACCTGGACCAGGTGCTGCAGCTGCACCTGTTTGAGCAGGACGCCACCAAGGTGGGATTCAGGGTCAGGGGTCACCTGGAGTCATTTAGGAACCTGCTGCTCTAGGGACACAAACTGTCTGCCCACAAACCCGGCAGTCTGTGTGTCCATCTGTATATCTGCCTGTCTGTCCGTCCACATACCCGTCTATCTTACTTACTGGTACCTGTGAAAAGTACTTGTGATAAAGTACTGGTACTTGTGATAAAGTTCTCCCTCCCCTCCCCCAGATGTCGGACTGGATCGCTCACAGTCAGGACCTGTTCCTGCAGACCCTATCTGCGGTGGGTCAGAACCACCAGCATGCCCTGGACCTCCAGACGCAGCACCAGCACTTCACGGCCAACTGCATGGTGAGTTGCTTGTTTATTTGCTTGTTTGTCGCCGTTGCCGTGACGCCTGCCTAACAGCACTCGTGTGACCCCCCAGAACGGCAGCATGAACGTGGACAGCGTGGTCACCGTGGCAACCAGACTGGCGGAGGCGGGCCACCACGGGGCGGAGCGCATCGCCGGAGTGTCGCTGCGCCTGCAGGGCGACTGGAGGGCGCTGACGGCGGCGCTGGAAGAGCGCAGCAACACGCTCGCCATGGCAACTAGCTTCCACCAGGGGGCCGAGCAGGTTATTACGCAACAGCGAGGCACCTGTCTCATGCCCGTGTCTACCTGTCTCACCTCTAACCTTTATACCTGTCTGTCATGCCACGACCCGCCTGGGTATCCCCACTCACCCGTCTGCCTCTCTGTCCAGTTCCTGCTCAGATTGGAGGGCTGGGTCCAGGTGTGCTCTGAGGGGGCGTTGCCCTCGGCGGCAACAGAGCTGGAGGCCGCGACGAAGAAACATCAGGAGCTGAACGAGGAGATCTCTGCTAACTACACACAGGTACCTGTCTCTATCAACACCTGTCTGTCTGCATACCTGTATGTCTGATGTCTGTCTGAACACCTGTCTCTTTCTTTGCGTGCAGGTTAGTGAGAGCGGTAAGGCCTTAATGGACGTACTCCAGCGTTGCCCAGCAACCGACTCCGACAACCCCACAACCAGGCCGGATCTCGCCAACGCCACGCACGGCATCATGGGAGCTCTGCACCAGGTCATGCAGGTACGGCTCGTGGTGATGTGTCTCACATGTGACCAGCAGACAGGCAGGTGGACTCACGTGAGCTTTTTGTCATCTGCAGGGTCACCAAGAGGTGGAGGGGGTGTGGCAGCACCGTAAACTCCGCCTCCATCAGCGCCTGCAACTGTGTGTTTTTCAGCAAGATGTCAGACAGGTACGACGGATCCATATCCAGACTCTACACCTTGTATTCAGAGGCCAGTTGCCCCACCTGTCTCTCTCTTTCTCCACCGGTCTCAGGTGTTGGACTGGGTGGAGCAGCACGGGGAGGTTTTCCTGAACAAACACAGTGGCGTGGGGAAGTCTCTTCACCGGGCACGAGCGCTGCAGAAACGCCATGACGACTTCCAGCAGGTTGCACAGGTAAACCCCAACTAGACGTGGACTAACTAGCCCCGGACTACCTGAACCCCACCTAGACCTGGACTACCTGAACCCCACCTAGACCTGGACTACCTGAACCCCACCTAGACCTGGACTACCTGAACCCCACCTAGACCTGGACTACCTGAACACCACCTAGACCTGGACTACCTGAACACCACCTAGACCTGGACTACCTGAACCCCACCTAGACCTGGACTACCTGAACACCACCTAGACCTGGACTACCTGAACCCAACCTAGACCTGTACTACCGGACGCTACCTAGACCTGGACTACCTGAACCCTACCTAGACCCGGACTACCTGAATGCTACCTAGACCTGGACTACCTGAACCCCACCGAGACCCGGACTACCTGAACGCTACCCAGACCTGGACTACCTGAATGATACCTAGACCTGGACTACCTGAACCCTACCTAGACCCGGACTACCTGGATGCTACCCAGACCTGGACTACCTACACACCACCTAGACCTGGACTACCTGAATGATACCTAGACCTGGACTACCTGAATGATACCTAGACCTGGACTACCTGAACGCTACCCAGACCTGGACTACCTGAACCCTACCTAGACCTGGACTACCTGAACCCCACCTAGACCGGACTACCTGAACGCTACCCAGACCTGGACTACCTGAACCCCACCTAGACCGGACTACCTGAACGCTACCCAGACCTGGACTACCTGAACCCCACCTAGACCCGGACTACCTGAACGCTACCCAGACCTGCACGAACTGATGTGTGTGTGTCACAGAACACCTACACTAATGCAGAGAAGCTTCTGGAAGCAGCCGATCAGCTGGCTCAGTCTGGAGAGTGTAAGGAGGAAGAGATCTACCAGGCGGCCAGAGACCTGGAGCTCCGCATGCAGGTGAACAAATACCAGGGGGGCTTTTATTCTGAAGGACAGCTACAGGAAGTGTTCTCATTGTGTGTGTGTGTGTGTGTGCAGGCGTTCATTCAGAGAGTTGAACAGAGGAAGCTGCTGCTGGACCTCGCTGTGTCTTTCTACACACACACCAAGGAGGTAGTACACCTTCTATGTCCCGCCTCCACCTCAACTCCTCGGCACCTCCTACCTCGCTTTTGTTTCCTCCTCCACCTCCTCATCTATCCTGACTCCTCTTCCTCCTCCTGCTCTGACATCTGAAAGGCATTTGTCAAAATAAGTGCATGGATTCACAGACTGTGTTCATTGAGCCTTGGTATGCCCCCCCCAGCTCTCAGTGTGGATGGAGGGCCTCCAGAAGCAGCTCTCCTCTGACCTCTGTGTTTGTCCCGACACCGTTGAAGCTCTTCAGGCTTTGATCAGCCAGCAGCAGCAGCAGCAGGCGAATACGCAGGTGAGCCCGCTGACCTTCGACCCTGTCGTAACACCCTAACACCCCTGTTGCCTCTGACCCCACGGCGCTAACCCTCACACTAACCCCGACTCTAACCCTGACCCGCAGGAAGCTGCAATGAGTGTCATCAGGGAAGGAGAAGACCTCATCCTGCAACTCAGGTACGCGCAGAGTGTGGGTGCGTTTAATTCGCTTGCGTCAGTTTGGCGCTGGTGAATCTGTGGACACTGTTGGTTTTGTAGTCGTGGGTTCATGGTTTTATTTTGTATTTTGCAAGCATTTATGTAGTATTTTTCTGTTGGGTGCTTTTATTTTAGTTTGCGTATGTTTGATTTATGATTTACTGTGGAGAAAATGGGTATGTTTGTTTTGTAGTCCGGGGGGCGTTTCTATTTTGCAATTTTGGAGCTTTTGTTTTGTAGTTATCTGAAGGGTGTGTTTGTTTTGGTGTTTGCGTATTGTGAGTCGGCTTTTTCTTGTAGTTTGGGTGGGTTTGATTTTCACTTTTGTTGGTAATTTCATATCCTTTGTGGGTGTGCTTGTTTTATTTGTTTGTAAATTTACACAGAATCCACACCTCAAACAAGTTAAGTTAGGGAGCATTCCAACAATGATTACATTGCTTAGTGGTAAAACACACGCACCCACTCATTGTTGGAATGCTCCCTAACTTAACTAAAATCGCTTTGAGCAGCTCCCCATATCCCCCAACCATGTTCTAAACCCCCGTCACAGAAGACCAACACCCCCTCGAGCCCTCTACTAACCCTACTACAATTACAATTATCACTAATACTAACTACTACTACTACTAACTACTAATATTACTACTAAAAAAATCTTTCAAATTAATTTCTAGCATTTCGCTTTCAGCATTTTGATTTGAGGGGTGATTGTTTTCTTCATCAAATGGCCTCTGTCCAAGTGGCCGGATATCTATAACCCTTTGAGGTGCGTTTGTTTCAGGCCTCAGGGCAGCTCGTTGGTCCATGTGGAGACAGTGCTTCAGCAGCTGGAGGAGTCCCACGTTCAGCTGGAAGAACTCTTCCACCAGAGGAAGATCCGACTGGACGTTTACCTGCAGCTCCGCATCCTGCAGCAGTGCACCCTGGAGGTACGAGGTTTATTGACCATCAATACGTCAGGGTGCCCCCCACCTGACGTGTGTCACCGTTTCCTAGGTAACGGGGGAAATGGACGCCTGGAAGCAGGACCTTCACAAACAGTCCCAGGACTTCTCCGCAGAGAGGCTAGCGTCATCGCGGCTCGCTGACGCTAACCAGGACAAGCTAGTGCTGGGCCAGGCGCGGCTAGCGGAAGCTAGCGCCGACATGCTAACGCTAGCGCAGCAGCGCATCCACAGGTAACCAAGTAAAGTAACAGAACGTTAAAAAAGGGTCCACTGCGAGGCACTGATGGAGATTATTGATCTGCAGGCACATGGAGCGAAGGCTGGCCATGAACAACATGATCTATGAGGTCATCCAGCAGGGTCACGACCTTCAGCAGTACATCACCGAGGTTCAGGCCTCAGGTAAAAGACCCTTTGTCACCACATCGGCGACGCATTCAGCATGTTTTTTAACAGGGGGGGGGGAGGCTCACAAAGTCAACGAAGGTCTCCTGGAAGTTCTTAGGACACCTGAATGGTCCAAGAATTGAATTCTATCGGGTTCTTGAGGTCCAATAGGAAATTCTAAGGGGTCCTTGGATGGTTGTATTGCTCTTTAACTAGACAATTTGTTCTTGTCAGAGTTCTAAAGGTCTTCTACAGTCCTCCAGGAGGTTCCACTGGTAGGCCACATCGAGTAACTGCCAGTAGTCATTTTGGGAGCGTCGGAGGTCTTTGGGTGGTGTCCAGTTCCTCCTCCGACGGACCCCAGAAGGTCTTTGAGGACGTCCTCGGTCCTTGAGGCGGTTCCAGAGT